GCCAAAATTAGCAAATTTCAAGGTTGCTCGAAGCAGTCCGGCCCTAGATTACAGAGAGAAGATAGGGTATTACGGATTCGATAGGAGTACTGAACCCCCTTGAAGAGGTTCGGAAGAGATCCTGAAGAGAGTCATGGGGATTATAGGAAATATATTCATAGGGGTTACGTTTATAGGCCTCTGTCTGACGTACGGAATTACACGTCAGCATTTTGGGGACTACACGGGGGTTCTCAACATGTTTAATCCCTGGTGCTGTCTTATAGTTAGAATGGCACTGGTTTTTTGGAAGATTGTACTAGATACCCACCTGAGCAATCACATGGTGGCGTTTCTGTGTGAATCAGGGTGTGTGTGGGCAGGAAGTGTGGGAGGAACCGCGAAGTATGCAGGTATCATGTAGACGTTATGGGCGTATCGTACAGGAGCCTGGGTTGATGTGGAAGGTCCCCATGTATGGAACACCGGAATTTTGGGACAAGGTCCTCCTTGGCCTTTTCGGGGTTCTATCTACTCGCGATGACTCAGAACCCTAAATCAGAGAAGATGCCCGCAACCATGATTTATGCAGGAGCGCGCAAAGTATGCTCGGACGGAGCCGTGCAACCCTCAAATCCTGATCACAAGGGTTCAGTCACGCTTCCCCTAGATGTATGAACTGTAGCAGGAGGAAAGGAGGTGGTGGGGCTTGCAAAATATTGTAACACGGCGAAAATATTACAATCATGGCAATATCGGCAATGCGATCCTGGTAATGTTGTGCAAAGACCTGGCAACAGTACTGCTAGTGGCAAAGGACTGACTGATGAATTCGGATTGGCCGTTTAATGGCAAAGATGGTCGTAACGATGCACAGCTTGGCTAATTCGCATATCTACCTACGTACATATGCACATCCATCCATCCATCCATCCATCCATTCATCTCTTTGTACCGGCTTCCTGTGTCTTTTCATTAGGCACGAGCCCGAAACTAATACTCTTGTGCCCGCTGCCTCAGGCCCAAGAAGGCAATCCGACCCAGCCTGCGACCTGCAATAGACCAGGGCGAGTGTACCAGGTGATTTGTACTAGGACGGCGCTTTGTGCGGGCAGAAGACAGCAGCCGAAGGCTTCTCCTGTCACCATTTTCTGTCAGCAGCGCCTGCTTAATCTTAGCGATCTGAGTCTTCAGATCTGTGACAAAATGGGTCCAGAGCGAGCGCTCTGAAAGAACTCGCTTGCTGGCCGAAGACCACACCTGCATATCGTAGCCTTTCGCTCAAGCCACTAGACCTGCAGCCGCAGCCTGACTTTGCTTGCTAGGTTCATTGCGTCACCTCCGCCATGCATGTCATCCGCTCGCTAGTGCTCACCGTAAGAACATGGAAGGCACCCACAAGAACGCCGAGCTCCGCGATTTCTTCTGCTCGCAGCCTCAGGGCGGACCAATGTGCTCGTTTTTTCAGCCAGGTGCTGTACAAGCCATGTGCGCCAAAGAGGCCGCCACAGCCGTAGGCACTGCAGTGAAGAACACTGCAAACAACGCAGTGGATGCAACGAAAGCCTTGATCAAGGAGAATTCCAAACATCCGCTGGAAGGCCCTTTCTTGACCCCGGCCGGCACCAACGGATGCACACTTCGCGGCTGGTCGGGTACGTACACCTACGCGGGATCATTCATTCCAGCTCTGTCGATCAACGTGTACACCTACTCTACGACCTTCACTTTCCACTCTGCTTATGGCTGGGAGAAGGCTTTCCCGGGCCAGCTTGTGAACAAGATGAATGGAACTCACAGCAATGAAGACCTGGCAATGAAGTTCTGCTCCTACCCACCCCTGGGACAGGCGTTCCCCAATGCCTGCACCTTTTGGTCGCCCGGTGCCTTAGGCAGTCTTTGCCCAGGACTTCTGGCGGCCAATGCGGCCAAGGCAGCCACGGATGCCGCCAATGCTGGCTACGAGGCCGCCCAGCAGGGCTACGACAAGGTGAAGAACTATTTCGGTTGGCAATAAGAAGTCTCGCGGCATGAGAGACTACTCTGCTTGGGCAGAGGCACAGAATCCGGTTGGAAGTGAGGAGTCGCGAGAGATTGCTCTGCTTGGGCAGATAAAAAATCGCCACAGCTTGCATTAATTTGCATGCAGGCAGATGACATTCAAATCTCGCCCGCCCACAGCAGACGAAGTGATCAAGCCAAGTGGTAACTTGCATAGCATTATGAATGGCACATCAACCAGCTTTGCAAGCATTGTTCAAGTTTGGCTAGCTCTTGAAGCCAGAGATATGCTCCCACGAAATCAGTGCTCAATCATCCCATTGTCCTGCCTGTGTTCTTGATGAAGGGCAGGAATTTCAGGATCATCGTTTTTGGTGTGGTTAAAGACTTAACTTGAGTTTCTGGCCCGTGCGCTGACTCTAATGACTGACTGGTGCAGCATTAAATTGAGGCCCCAGAGCCCAGAACCCCCAGCCCCCTAATTGTAAGCCCTGCTGGGCAGAACAAAACCTTGGAACCTGTGGAGCCTCAGAGAGAGCCCATGCCATGGTTTTCCGATCTTCTTCCTGGGCTTTTCGGTTGCTTGGTGGCAAAGAGCCTGCTGAGTGTGGGAATCTTAAAGGTCTAGGATCGTGGAGTTCTAGGAGCTTGGAAAATTTTACGGTTTCAGGGCTTTCAAGTTTTGGGACTGACGTAGCGGTAGCATGGGTGTAAAATGGTAGCAATAACTCCAGCATCAGTACAATCTAGGCGCTACACCTTGCAAACCCCTGCGAACGCCTGAACCCTAGACTTCAAGCTTTTCACCCTTGAACCTATTGAATATACTTGAAAATAACGGCAGCAATGCTTGCATCTGCGCCCGAGGAATCTGCTCGGCAAGAAGGCCCGGCCCAGCAGTCTTGCCTGCGAAGAGACATCGTGGTAGTTTTGAGAGATTATGTAATGGCCAAGGAAAGTCTAGCAGCGGGCCAGCACCGATTACTTGTGAAGTTGTTCAGCGCATGTTTGTCCTACATACACTTCTGCAGACACAGGGTTTTGGGCTTGTTACATTGTTGGTTTGGGTTTAGGAACGTATGGTTCAGGGATCCCACCGCAAGGGGAGGGTGGGTCCTGGGCCTATGAATGTCTGGCGTCAGGATCAAGATGAAGAACTCAAGCTTTGGGGCGGATAGGTTTCGGTTTCGGGGCGAAGGTGCCCACTCTGGTTGCCAATCATGAGGCCTGAATAATTGGACATATCCTTCTTGTACTACAATGGCTCACCACCATACACCCTTCCGGCCCCCCACTCGTGTCCTGACTGCCACAAGGATCCCAACGCCCCCAAGCCGCCGCCAAAGCGCAGCAGCACTCCAAGAAGGTCTTCCGGCACGTCTCCATCAACATAATGATCTAAAGTCAAAACTCCTTAAAGGGTGTTGTATAGGGGATTACATAGGGGACTATAATAGGGGTTATTAAGGGGGATAGTAGGAGTTTAGACTATAGCTCATATTTGGATTGCAAAGCGTTAAACCCTAAACCCCTGAGCTGGGCTGGTCTTGGCCTCATAATGTAGTGACTAAATAGTTAGAAAAGGGCTTTAGAGAAGCACATGGACAAAAAACATGGAAAATTACATGGAAGCTGTGTTTACATAAAGGGCATGCAAGCGGGACCTGTTGTTTTGTTGCAAATATCTACATGTGTTATGGCATTTGAGATGGTTTAGGTGATTACCTAGTATGTGGGAGGTACAAAACTGGGATCCCAATCTTGACTACTCATATTCAAAAAAAAGAGGCATGGCAGTCACTTGCCATCGTTTTCAAGAGTCGAGCCATCATGGGACTGATCATGCAACACAAGGCAATTGTAGCAACAAGAGGAGAACCACAGAAATTCTGTTGCTCCGGGTTTTCAGATACCAGAGGTGAATTGGTCGGTGGGGGGTTCCCAAAATTTAGGGATACTTCCTTGGGTTCTTCATGATAAGAATTCTAGTATTTACTGGGTTCCCTCTATGTTAGGAGAGTACCAGATACAATAGCAGTCACAGGCTTGGAGTGTTGAGCACACTGAACCCCAAACCCAAAACCAAAACTCACAGCTTCGGTGCCAAACCACAGGGATTTTTGCAGGATGCTCACAAGAACATGAATGGGTGCAATAGCCTTGGCGCGCCTAATGGCCTAATGTAGAAGTCTCAATAATCACCAGTAGTATTTTTGAATAATCACCAGTAGTATTTTTCAATAGCCCCTATATACTTACAGTACAACGCGCCCTCCCAAACCACATTCTAGTTAAATTGCCCCCTGCACAGAGATGCCACCGGATATCAGCTTAGTCAGCACCCTGTAGACAAGGCTTTGAATTAATTCAGTTGCGATGGGGATTTACAGGGCCTGGGAGCATCTTAAGCTTGGACAGTGCAGTGGAAATGCTTACGGGGTACTTGAGGTGGGTGCAGGAGGCAGAATTTACTTGCTGCATGTTGATCATCAGGTGGGGAGGGGATTGCCTGTTAACGCGAACAACAACTTTGAGATTGTAACATCTGGAATAACAGCCAAACCCTAAACCCTAAACCCTAAATCCGACATAAGCCAGAGGATGTCTAAGCATACCCATACCCCTTCTGTCTGCTTAAGAGGGATGGACACCCGACGGGCTTCCGCATCGTTGTGCCGGAGTACTGCCGTCCGGGTCAGGTCATCTGTGTCCAGGCAGCGGGCTTGGATGGGTTGCGAGATCCCAAGAAACATGAGTAATAATAAGAGTAATGTTTAGTAGTAGGAATATTGCAGTTCATAGTAGCCGCAGTAGTAGTCATGGGACTAACAACAGTACTAACAGCAATCAAGTAATGATAATCGTAATGATCGTAGAGCCCCGAGGATGAAGTGAGTATTCTGTTGCTCAGGATTCTTTGGCTTAGTGGCCTGCATCCAGCCCCCACCCCAAACAGGTGGAGACGTGGGAAGAATCTGGCTTTTGGTTAGCTAGGAATGTAGGAATGGATCCTTATAATTATAGTAGTCCCTATATAACCCATTATAGTAGTTTCCATTTTCTTTTCCATTCCTTCATTCCCGCGCTAAACCCTAAACCCTGAAGGCTAAACCCTATAGTAGTTTCCATTTTCTTTTCCATTCCAGGAATGCCTCCAGGTAACTCTAAGCTCCACATCTGACCGACCTGCAGGGCCCGGATGGACAAGCAGTGGAGGTGACTGTGCCTATGGGGGTGGGCCCTGGCCAGCCGATGTGGGTCCAGGCACCTGCATGGCCAAAGATTACCTAAAGCTGGCTCCGGTTACTTATGATGTTTTTGAAATTATGATTCACTATCACACTAAGGAACCAATTATTCAAACTGATGTTTCCATGATGGGTCTAGGGGGGTTACAGCTGGTGGCAAAGCTCCTGTAAGACGCATGCAGAGCATGTAGTAAGCCTATGCCACAGAAGAGATCACGCTGGTAAGGATGACATAGCAGGTAGTCGCATACCAGCCAGACTATCAAGGCACACCATACAAGTACACGTAAATATACAGAAATCGATGTGCTTATGTAGATATGGTAGATTCCCAAAATAGGGGGACCCCAGAATACTATAATGCTTTATTACTTGTTATAGGACCCATAATATTGGGAAACCCTCATATTACTTGGTGACGTATTTGCCTGTTATGTCCGCAGGTCCAGCCCCAGGCAGCAAGTGCCCCAAGCGCTTCATCTGCCCGGCCCGAGGAGACCGCGCTACAGGGATTGGCTCATCTGGCCCATGGTTAGCTGGGAATGAAGGAATGAAAAAGAACATGGAAACAACTATAATGAGTCATACAAGGACTCCTACAAGGATCCATTCCTTCATTCCTTGCTAAACAAAGGTCAGTCATAGCCCGGTTCGTAGAGGGTCCAGGTTTCCCTCTTTATGGTTGGTCGTTTTCAGAGGGTGTCCACGTTTGTTGTTTCTAAGAGTGGTTTGTTGCGTCTGCACATATGACACGTGCACAGCAGCGGGTGCTTCCGCGTCTGCATGCCGGCGCGGAAAGAGATCGAGGACAATCGGTTGCTCTGATGGAGGCAGT